AAAATACAAAATAATTAAAAATTCAAAAAAAAAACAAACATTATTATATTTCCAATCAAAATTTATTTCATCTCTCAAATTCACCCAAATTTCACATCTTTTTACATATTTCTTATTTCTTTATTTTATTTTCTTAACATTACCCTACCCTTATTTATTATTCTTAATTATTCTTATCTATCTTTTACCATCAATTATAATATTATAAATTTTCTTCTTTTTCTATATAATATCAAAAAATATGCAGCGATTTATTAAAACCAACGACATGGTTTCCTTTTCTCAAATCCTTAGCCATTATTTTAATATTTTATTTTTGGCAGTCTTATTCTACTTTTTCAGATTATTCAGTACTTTTATAGTTTCGTTTTACATCTTATACCTACTAATCATCAAAATTTTAAAATTGCATAGCCATTTTTCTTTTTGAGTCTTATGCATTTGCTTTATTCTATGAATTGATTTGTTATTTGGTAAACTTACTGCGATAAATAATAGTTGTCTACAATGTTGCTGTTAATGACATCCTTCAAATAAATTCCTTCTGCTATAATTTTATAAAGACTCTAAATGTGTTATTTATGATTCAAACTGATGGTGTTTTGATTTTAGTAATTTTATTAACAAAAAAATTAAATCTGTTTAAAGAAAGATTTTATGCCCTCTATAAATTGTTCTATATATTTTAGTCTTAAAGTTTCATTAAAAATGGAAAACTACCAGTTCATGCTGCACTCCCCATTTGAATTTCATTAATGTTTAGAAAATTATTTACTATTTTAATAATTAATTTTTGATGTCTTCTGCATTTCATATTCATATCGGAGGGGCTGGAGTAATGATTGGTGATATGTTATGGAAACTTTATGAAAAAGAATACAATGAAGCAACTTAGAATAATTACATTTATGAAGAAGTTGATGGGAATCACTATCCATTAGCACTTTTCTTCGATACAGATGACGGAATGATACATGAAGTCTAAAGGAATAACTCAATAAAATATAAGAACCATTCATTTTTACATGGAAAAGAGGAGGCATTAACATATGCTCGAGGTAGGTATACTGTTGGAAAAAAAGTTACAAAATAGGCAATAGATTGCATTCGAAAATAAATAGAAACGATGAGTCGATTAGATGAATTTGTGATTACAAGTTCAATAAGTGGAGGTACTGGTTCTGGATGCCTTTCATTTTTGTCAATAGTCTTAGATGAGTAATTTGGAAATAAATCAAAATAAAATGGATTTATAATTTTCCCATCTTCAGAGATGTCGAATAATGTCGTTGGACCTTATAATGCTGTGTTCCCGATTCATACTATGATTGATCATTTTTAGAGTATAACAATGTTTGACAATTAGTCAATGTACAATGTTATTGATTATCAAGTAGAATTAGATTTTGTTGATTATTAACATTTAAATAACTTGGTAGCTCAAGTAATTAGTTCATATACTGGATTAAGAAGATTTAACAATTGTGATAACTCCAAGTTTTTGTCAAATTTGTGTCCTTATCCTAGTGTGCATTATTTAATTCCATCGTATGGCAAAATGACTTTAATAAATGATTATGCTAGAACAGAATTATAGGAAACATAATTTATTCATTATCTAACTAAAAAGAAGTGTTAACTTTATCAATGTCCTATTAATCCTTGTCTTGTAACTTCAGCATTACTATTTAGATAAAAATAATTGAACCCTTTTTTTGGTCAATATGATTTAACTCTAAACAATTTAGATCATTGCTTTGGCTAAAGTTCAAATATTTTTTAATGTGCAGCATCTAATTATTAAGTATTGCCTGAATTTGCCTAGATGAAACTAACTGGATCCTTTTTTTCTAATGATGCCTCAATTAGTAGTAGATTTAAATAATTAAGAGAGAGCTTTTATAAACTTCGCCGTAAAAGAGCTTTTCATAATTGGTACTCGTGGTGTGTAGGGAGTATTTGTTAATTGGTGTATGAGTTCCG